ATTTAATTTGTACCCATTTCTCTGTGTCCTTTTTCCTTCATCCATTTTAATACAACTGCCAAAGCACCATTACTTAAATAATGCATTACCTATGTTTCTTCCTCAATTAGATCTATCAAAGATTCTTTATTGCCTATAAAATAATTCACAAGTTTTTGATCTGGAATTCAAGCCATTCCTCATTCAAAGCTCCTTTTACTTCTTCCACAATTTTCTTGTGCAAAACCAGTGATCCAGCATGAGTCTTCTCATTATTTCTAGATTAGTCCCTACACTTCCCTGTTCTTCACAGTTTCTGCTCAATTGTACTCTTGTCTTAAACTATAGTGTAACATCCAAATATTCTTTTTTTTTTTTTTTTTTTTTTTTTGAGACAGAGTTTTGCTCTTGTTACCCAGGCTGGAGTGCAATGGCACGATCTCGGCTCACTGCAACCTCCGCCTCCTGGGTTCAGGCAATTCTCCTGCCTCAGCCTCCTGAGTAGCTGGGATTACAGGCATGCACCACCATGCCCAGCTAATTTTTTTGTATTTTTAGTAGGGACGGGGTTTCACCATGTTGACCAGCATGGTCTTGATCTCTTGACCTAGTGATCCACCCGCCTCGGCCTCCCAAAGTGCTGGGATTACAGGCTTGAGCCACCGCGCCCGGCCTAACATCCAAGTATTCTTAAAACAATCCCTGATCAAGCCCAGTGCTCAGTAATTTCTGTTTCTTGTAAACTTCCTTGGAAAATTTTAATCATAGCAGTCATTTGTTACTTAGCATAGATATTACCTATTTCTAATTTTTAAAAATGAGGTTTTTCTCTAATACACATTTATGTTTCTACTCTTCTAAATTTTACCAAGTTCAGTGTGCTACATATACATAGTACATATTTGCTGAGAATGTGCCCAACATGAACATTGAAAATAAACTGGATCCTTTTCAGGTTTAATCTAAGTGTTAATAGTTAACTATTTGCTATCTGTACTTGCTAATGGAATCTAATATGTTATAATAATTTTATGATTTTAAGGAATAACATGTTGGTAATTTTCTTATGTCCTTCTAAATTTCTTTTTAAAAACCTTTTTACTTTTAAAAAATATTGATGTAGAGAAAGGAAACAAAAACACTCAATTGATGTCCTAGCCATCAGTCTTTGAAAACAAGTAGAACAGAGAAAAATAGTAAAAGTAGTACATATGAAAGATACTTGTTGAAATTAATTCCAGAACATTATTTCTACTTGGATAGTAGATTTGCATTTTACATTCAACAATTGCAAATTAGGTAAAGATTTGTATAGTAAAATTATTTCTGCATGTACTTTACCCATAAACATATAAATGTGTATGTGTGTGTGTACATTCAATATCTTTGCAGTATATGTATAATTGTGAAATAAATGTGAAGCATACCCTAGAATACACATGCAAATATTTTACCATATTTTAAGATACATAAAAGAGTTATTGACAGTTAAACTTATGTTAATTTAATAGCATAGGAAGCAAACCATTTAAGAAGCAGACTTATGCACGTTCAAAGTAAAATTCTGGGAATTAGCCCACTGGCACCAGCAATGTCTTGTGACCTTAAGGGAGTTGCTTAAATGTGGCTCAGTTCAGTCATCTATACATTTGAAAGAGTAATAGTCTCCTATTTCACGGTGTTTCTTTAAGTACTGAATAAATGTGCTTAGATCTGTGCTGGTATATAATTAACACTCAATAATATTAACTTGATAAGTTTCTGAAACACTCTCCAAGTGCTAATATTGCTATTAGAATAGAAACTGCTACTGGAAATTTAAGCCCAGGTAAGATATTTGAATTCATACTCAAATAGATAAAACTAAGGAAGGAATAAAGAAGTTTAAATAATCTATACGTCAACATATGTGTTATCAGTTAAATCAAATTAAACTTCAGAATGACAGTTCAGAATTCGTATTTGCTTGATTATTAACATATATATGCTATTTTATTTCTTATTTTCTCAGAACAAAAAAGTCTAACTGTTCAACCCTTATCTTTTTAATTAACGAATGAAAATAAAATAAAATGAAATGTAAAATTCACACTGGAAGCAAAATTAGAGTTAAGGCGAGCCATTTAATATGAGAAAATGACCAACGCAAGAGGAGGATATCACAATTCTAAATACGTATGCAAGCATCATCATAGCCTTAAAATATATAAAGATTGACAACATTAAACAGAGAAATACACAAAACCACATTTATAATGGGAGATGTAATACACCCTTTCAATATCTGATAGAAAAATCAGGCAAAAACATAGTAAAAATATAAAATATTTTAACAAAGGAATTACAAACTTGAACTGCTGACATAGGTAGAATTTTGAATAAAGAAATACTCATCAAATTTTAAAACAGTATAATTATTTAGAGTATGTCTTGTGACCACAGTGAAATTAAACAAGAAATCAATTTAAAATATAACTAGAAAGCCAAATTTCCCAGAAATTTGCCATTTAGAAAAGTTTAAAAAATAAATAGACTATTACATTAAGAACAGCTTGGCGTTATAAACTTACACATATCCAGTACCTGATTTATGACAAAGGTGAAAGCATGTCAATACAGAAGAAAGAATGATACTCTCATAAAATAATGCTATAACAATTTGATATATCTATTTTTAAAATGCATCTGGAGCTTTTTATTATACTATACACAAAAGACAATTATAGTTGTTCTAAAGGTCTTAAATGTGGAAGATAAAATAATTCTTTTAAAAGAAAAGCATTGTGTTCTAGGATTAGGCAAGGTTTCATTAAATAAGACACGTTATGCACTAATCATAGAAAAAAATTTTGAAAATTTGCTCTATTCTAAAATTAAGGAATTTTATTTATTATTATAAAGGATATGTAATACTGAATGGAAAGAAAACCCACAGGCTGGAAGAAGGTACTGATAATACATATTATAAGAATATTTTCATATCTAGAATATATAAATATCTATAAAAAATTCCTGTAATGCAGTAAGTCAAAGACAGACAATAAGGAAAAAAGATGCAAAAGATTTGAATAGAAGTTTCACCAAAGAGGATATCTAAATCACCAACCACCACAGGAAAGTTTCTCAACTTCAAGATGATATGGACAGGAGACAGGGTAGAAGAGGGTGGTCCACCGGCAAAGGCCCCGCCCTCATGCCTGAAGACCTGTGGCCCTAAATGAGGACAGGCATTTCAGTTTTCACACCCATAAAGGTGCCTTTTGGCCCACCATGCCCTCCTGTTCTGCCCCCATATAAACCCAAAACTCCAAGCTCCAGAACAGACCTGCAAATGAGATGAGGAGGCAAGCAGACCAGCAAAGGCCGAATGATAGAGGAGGGACATCTGGTCTATGAGGGGAGCTCGGCCAGGGACAGTTAGAGAACAGTCCAGCCACTGGGAGGCCCGACTCAGGGCAAAGGCCACCTTCCCCCTCCATCCCGCTGACAGCCACCTCCATCACTCAATAAAACCTTGCCCTCCTTCCTCCAGCCCCCAAGTGATCTGAGTCTTTTGGGACACTGGGCAGGAGCTTGGGATACAGAAGGCTGTTATACTGTCCACCAACCATGAGATAAGGGAGAGGGTCCACTGAGCTGATTAACACACAAACCATCTGCAGATGACAAAGCTAAAGGAACACACTGTAACACACGCCCACTTGGGCTTCGGGAATCGCAGATACCCACCCTCGATGCTACTGTGACACCAGAGCCGGAAAGCACTCACCCCAGTTCTGGCACCTGCCCATCTGTGTGCTCCCCCTCCAGTGAGGGGTTTGAGCTGCAGGGCAACCTAACAGGTGAGTTGCACCCCTGCCACATGTCCTGCAAGGGAAATCTGGGATCTCTCATATTTCAATTAGTCATCCAAAAAATTCATATTATAATATTATAACCACAGAGAATTATTGCTTTGTGTTACCAGAAAGGCTAAAATTATGAAGATTAAAATTATCAGGTATCTCTGAGGGTGTGGAGAAACTTGGACACTGCTGATAGAGATGTCAAGTGTTACAATCCATTTGGAGAATTGTCTAGTTTTATCCATTACACCTAAATGTAAGTTACGTCCTAATGTTTCACTCTCAAGTATGCACTTGCCAGAAATGTGGATTGTGTTTACCAAAAGCCACGTACCAACATGGTCATAGCAGCACTATTCATAATCGGCTCCAAACTAAAATCTGCTCAAATGTTCCCTAACAGGCACACAGACAAACAAAATGTGAAATATTCAAAAAATGGAATGTTTCATCACAGTAAGAATTAACCATCTATAACTTCATCTAACAATGTGTTTGAATGGTCCAAACATAATTTTTAGTGAAAAGCTCTAGACATAAGAGTAAATTGCTTCTTTTTCATTGTACAAAATACAGAAACCAGACAAATGTATTCCATGTTCTTGCAGATCAGAATCATGGTCTCTGTGTGTGGGGGTGTGGGAGAGGCTCGAGAGGAGTATTGACCCAAAGGTAGTACTGGGGCTTTCTGAAAAATAACAATGTTCAGTGTTTTGACCTTGGTGGGGATTTCATAGGTACCTTACCTTCTCAATATTCAGTATGTGATTTATTTATGTTTTCCTTATACACATTATACTTCAATACAAATTTTTAAAAATCAGCATTCCAATTTGTTGATTTATGGATTGTTAAACCTATTTATGTCAAATGAGAGTGAGCCAGTTGCTTCATACACATATATAAAAAGCATTTAGAAAACTAATCTCATGAATTGCTAGAAAAGCAGAAGCTCCAAATCATCCAGCACTTCATTCTTGGGCAAAGTTAGTACACATTGTCTGGGTGCTGATTATGAAAACATTGCCTAAACCAAAGTTTTATAAGTGATTTATTTTAAAGTGTCTCTTATTTCCTGTTCTGAAATTTATACATAATAGACCTGAATAATTGAAGGGTTTATGAAATCCAAAGGGTGTCACCAACTGCTGCTTTGCACATACTAAAAACATGAACATTTTCCAAGCTTAATAAGAAACAGTCCAAGAGCAGGTCATGGCATTAACATTCAGTGGGAGTGCAGTGAGAATCAGGTTCAACCTCCAGGATTGCTGGGCTTGTGGTTGATTTTTCTGTTTACTCTGCAAAAGTTTCTGATAGGCGGAGCGTCTAGTTTCAACTTCCTTTTGCAGCAAGTTCTTTCCTGCACTAATCACAATTCTTGGAAGAGGAGAACTGGACGTTGTGAACAGACTTAGCTGGTAAATGTTCTCGTAAAAGAGCAAAAAAATGAGACTTCCAACAAAGGTTATATGCCTTATGCTATGGGTTGTTTGTGTGGCAGAAGGTAAGATGAAAAGAGGAGAACTCTTTTCCTAAAACTGTATTACGATACATTTGCTAATGATGCTTTTCACAGTAGTAATAAAACTTGATTTAGAAAATGTGCTTAAGTATTGTGTGGCTTAACAATTGAGTGGCTTTTGACATTGTTAAGTTTAAAAAAATGTAACTACCTTATTTGAATGGTATATCTGAATATTTATCTTAATTTTATTTAATATAAAATTTAAGAAAATATTTAAACAATTGCCTCTGAAAAACTATAATGTATAATAATCATGTCCCTTGTAATTATCATAAAATAAAACTTATTTTTTTGCTTAGAAGTATAACCAAAATGAATCGTGAAGGATGTGAATATATAGTCATTAAAAGCCATCAAATCATGATTAGATTTATTTCAGGTATGATTTTTACTCTTTCTAAAGAAAAATTCATTTATCATTTAAACTGTGATTGCCATAACTTTAAAAGTCTGATAAACAAGCATTACTTGTATTATCAGAATAAAATATTATATACATTTAAAACACAATTGAATATACAATATTTGTAACAGTTAAGTTGTTCAATAGGGATTTTTTTCCTGTAGTTGTATATAAGATATTCTTGAAGAGCAGTCTTTTAGTATAGTGAATATGAGTGTGGGAGTTTTTTTCAGACCTCAGCAAGACAATTTCTGAATTCATAATAAAATTTAAATATATCATTGCTTCTTGACAGATTAAAAAGCTTATTCTTGGAGATTTGCTTTCCTAGTTTGTGATAGGTAACCAGTTATGTGAAAGATATTTGATCAACATTTTTGAACTAAATACATTATATATTATTCATAATTTCCAAAAACTTTTCACTTAGTCAAAAAATTTTGATTAAGTCACTATACATAGCTTCTAAGAACTGAAGAAAATTAGCAAGTACACAAAGTCTCTCTGTTTAAGTCTTCCAATCTAGAAAATAAAAGCAGATATGTTTTTATAGTTCATCTTTCAGTAATTAAAAAAACATTCAAATATGTTTGATACCTTCTGAAAGATTGAACTTTCATTCATTTCTATTTTCCAATGTTATTGCTTGTTATTTGGCTTGTAAACTATACGTAGCCACTTTTAAATGAAGAAGACAATCATTTCCTTGTACATATAAATATTACAATTAGTATTTTTAAATGAAACATTTTTGTATTTGCAAACAGTTCCAGAACAATGTTAACGTGACCAATCATCACAGACATCTTTTTCTGTTTCTTTGTGTAAATGTTTATGTATTTCTTACTAAATTTAAGGGAATGTTTTTAATATTTCATATGTACATACTGTTGGCTCAGATTTTACATAGATATCATTTGTCATATGAAGGAGATTTGTTTTATTTCTAATCTTTAAAATCAAGAATCAATGGTGAGTTTAATAAATAGTTTAAGTTATTAAAAAGTTGAATTTGAAATATTAAAAGAGTACATCAAATTCTTTGTGATAATTAAACAGTAGTGATTTAAACTTCTTATTTGCATAATTGATTATTGCTGGGTTGTTTCACTTGAATTTTATTATTCATCAATGTGTGTTTAAATGTAATAAATCTGATTATTTCCTAGAAGATAAAGCACAACTTTAGAATTTAAAGCAATGCTTAGGCCAGCCTCACAATTTTCATAAAAGCACATGTAATGCAAAGTCAATTGAGAAGAAGTACATAAAGTTTCAGTGGATATCAAATTCCTGTTTTATTCCTTGTTTCCCAAGTACTCTCTAAAACTAAACTAGTTTGAGATGTCCATCAATTCTATTAATCTACCATATCTAACAAACTTTGACTTAAGAGAGTAGCCTTGATCATGAAAAATACTCACATATACTTCAATATTTGCTCCTGTTTATATTTTCCATATTGAACACTGAATACTAAATTGAGAAAAGACAGTTTGAATACTATCGCAGTCTGCTTTACTCAACTGCATATATTTTAGAATTACTTCTGCCCTGTTAAAAGTGAACATTCACTTTGGGAGGCCGAATTGGACAGATCATCTGTGGTTGGGAGTTTGAGACTAGCCTGACCAACATGGAGAAACCCCGTCTCTACCAGAAATACAAAATTAGCTGGGCATGGTGGCACATGCATGTAATTCCAGCTACTCGGTAGCCTGAGGCAGGAGAATCACTTGAACCCAGGAGACAGAGGTTGCAGTCAGCTGAGGTGGTGCCATTGCACTCCAGCCTGGGCACCAAGAGCGAAACTCCATCTCAAAAATAAAAATAAAAAAATAAAATTATAGCCAGCAGGAATAATTTATAATTTCAGCTTTCTATTTTTAAAAAACATATTGGGGACTACATAGTACCTTTATAATGCAGTGCATTATGTAAGGTCACATTCCCAATTGTACAGGAACGTTCATTGCCTCCTTGTTGTGACAGTCTGTAGCTCAGGGAGTCACCCCAAGCTACTAAGAATTGGGTCATATTTACAGGACAAAGTTTCAAATAGCATTTTCTCAATCGTACCACCTAATTTCACTTTTTTGAAATATATGATTATCAAGCTTTTCAATATATTATGACCAAGCAGATTTTTTTAGATTTAGGGTCTAACAATTCTGTCCTATGTGAAATTAGGCCACAGCCCAGAAATTCCAGGATGATTAAAGTGGATAAATTAAAACTCTACTGAAACATGTTCAAGTAAATACTGGCTGTGTTGTTAGGCAGACATGGTTTCTAATCCTGGAGATTTAGAGTGCAAAAACGTAATTTCAGTTCCCAAAAGACATTATAGATCAAAGACTGAAGGATTCCATTATAATCAGAAAAAGGAGAATAATATTTTAAAATCCTAAATTTTATTTTTGAATTTCAGTGTGATAAATAAGAATTCCCGCTTCTTCCCCTAAGCTCCTAGATTTTCAGAGGTTGTAGTATGGGTAGTTAGCTATATGGTGTGATTTAAAGTTGTACAATGGCCCAATTGTCTTCAATATGTAATCTCCTAAAATACTTTACATATTGGTATGAAGGTGAGGTATTCCCAGGTAAGACAGATCTGCTGACTGAAGGGCTATAGTGAGTCTATAAGAGAAGGGGTAGAGAAAAAGAAAATGCCCACAGAAATGGCACGAGCATGAGACATCTGCCAAGGCAAGCTTTGCTTATTTTAAATTTAGGCATATCCTGGGAATGCATATGCTACTCTTTTGCCTACATATAATTTAAACTAAAAATGAAATATCTAAGTATTGCTAACTAAAATTATTCTTAGGTAGAAGTAAGTTCCCAAGTATAAAAGCAGATTAGTAAATGTGTGGCCTTTGGTTTCTGAGATCTGAGCCAGTCTACACTGACCCACTTTTATTTGCTTAATCCCTGATTGTTTATTCTTTTGCCTCTTTTCATTCTTCCCAGTTATGCCTCCTCCTCCTCCCCCCAGACACCATCCCCCACCTGTCCAGGCCTTTGAGATTCTGCCACCCAATCTATCCTGTGCTCAGTTAACTAATGTGTACTTTACCCATTTCTTCACAAAACATAGTACATGGAAAGAGGATGACGTAATTGACAAAGAAGTGTTGCATTTTAGCTTAAAATTATAAGGAGACATAGAAAGATAGCTCAGAGGAAGTAAAGTAGCTGAACATCAAAAAATGCAACAATAAAATGGAAAGAAAAAAGATCTAACAGAACACTTTCATTTCTTCCGCATTTTAACTTAGCCAAGTTTTTCCTAAACCTTGTTAACTGGAAATGTAGTAGATAGAAAAGTGATTATAGAAATTTTCTTTCAGAGACTTCTGAACCATGACATAAATTTAAGCTTAGGACACACAGGTCAGATGAACAATGGAATTACAAATGTTAATGTTTCCTGGGTTCTTGCAACAGAGCTTTAAGTGCATTAGACAGTTATCTATCACCTTGTCTTCTCTTCTATTTTCTAGTTGTGATTGTCTACTATGCCTTTTCTACATGCTGTCCGTAATCTACAGATATAATGGAAAGGCTTCCAGATATTTTCATTTTACTCCTCTGTTCTTTCGCTCGTTCATTTTTTCCATCACTTCAACTTCCACAAGTGCTACTTAGTAATACTTGGTACAATATGTGTTGTATTTTCCCCCTATTTTCGGGGTCCTCATTTTACTGTCTCCCTGTGGCTCCCTTTGTATGACTGGAACAATAACTGGCATTAGGAATTAGCTATTCAAATACTACACATTTCAAGAAAGTTGTGGAATTTCAACCCGTGTTCTGATAGTATCTTGTTTCACCTCTACTTATGACATATTTGTTATTCTACCTAACTTGATACAGCTATCGTCTATTCTCCCTTTTGCTTTTTATGATCCTGGAGTTTTCTTTTTCTTTTTCTTTTCTTTTTTTTTTTGAGACGGAGTTTCGCTCTTGTTACCCAGGCTGGAGTGCAATGGCGCGATCTCGGCTCACCGCAACCTCCGCCTCCTGGGTTCAGGCAATTCTCCTGCCCCAGCCTCCTGAGTAGCTGGGATTACAGGCACGTGCCACCATGCCCAGCTAATTTTTTATATTTTTAGTAGAGACGGGGTTTCACCATGTTGACCAGGATGGTCTCGATCTCTCGACCTCGTGATCCACCCGCCTCGGCCTCCCAAAGTGCTGGGATTACAGGCGTGAGCCACCGCGCCCGGCCCCCTTCACTGTTAATTTGTTGTTGTTGTCATTGAGACAGGAATCTCGCGTTGTTGCCTGAAGCTGGAGTGCAGGGGTGCGATCACAGTTCCCTGCACCTTCCTCCACCTGGGCGCAAGCAATCCTCCTGCCCCAGCCTCCCACACCCAGCTAATGTTTTTTCTTTTTTTCTTTTTCTTTCTCAAATACCTGTTAAATGTGACATAATCTCTATTTGCTGTTTCTAGAGTTTGTTTCCTCTTTACACAGGTGTGTGTGTGTGTGTGTGTGTGTGTGCGTGTGTATATATATATATATAAAACTTCTGAAATGATCTTTATTCTCATGTTATTTATAAAATAAT